TGTTTTAGAATGAAATTTTTTATATAGTGTGTTGAAGCGAGGGTGTGAAGAGTTGGAATGTTCAGGTCTTTATGGATTGTATGATTACTAACATACCAATAAGGTGCATTTGTCAGAAGACTGAGACTAATCGACTGAAAGGATTGGAGTAGATTTAGGTTTGAGTATTTGGTTGAGCCTTGAGCCCCAGATTTCTATACCGTATGTCAATGCAGGACGAATTAATTGCTTGTATACAAGAGTTTTGTCACTAAGTAATATTTTAGATCGGAGAAGTTGACCAAGTTTATGTAGTTTTATTTTCATTGATTTTCTTTTGGTTTTGATGTGAGTGGCCCATGTTAATCTTTGGTCTAGATGAATACTTAGATATTTTACTGAACTTTCTCTAGGGATAGTTTCGTTATTGAGATGAACCGAGGGGCTGTTATTTGGTCGAAGCGTAAATGTGATATGTGATGACTTGTTTTCATTTATTTTTATACTCCATAGATTAAACCAATTTTGTAAGTCATTTAGATGGGATTGAAAGTTYCCCGTTGACTTATTTATATCTGGATCAGAGGATGTTATGCATGTGTCATCGGCAAAAGTAGCTAGGCTAGTAAGGTTATAGTGAGGAATATCAATTTGATATTATACATAACATTCTAAAAATATTATAAATACAAATCCACATTTTTTTTCATAGATATTTCCAGCTTTGTTTTTGTAAAAATATTGTTACAACTAATACGAGTAGAAAAATAAATTACCAAAATAAATCTAATTGTACAAATATATTATTCAATATTCTGAATATTTTTATGATCTTACTTAATGATGATGGGCACCTAACACCTATTATACTGCAGGCTCAGTCAGCAATGCAGAGCTACTTCACTTTTTTTTTTACCTAGGTAAATTGATTTGTATCAATCTAACATATTTAAAGTCAACATTTTGTAAGTTTAAAGTACTATAGCAAAACACTAATAAATATTAATTACTTAATAAAATATAAAATTAATTATTTTATAAATTACCATTTATAACATTTAGAATGAGCAATTTTAAAACAAATTATTCTATCTATAAAATCTAAATAGAAAATTTACATTATATATATATGAAGCTAATTGAAGAATATAACAGCATTTTAATTAWAGATGAAGAACAAAAACAGTACCTRCTACAAATTGTAAAAAATTATAAAATTAAGTATCCTGACGGTAACAAATCGACACTACAATAATATTATGTAATTAAATATTATTAACTATTAAAAAAAAATTGTATCAGTTTAAGTTCATTATACAATTTTTATTTACTCGTACAACATTTTATTTTAGATACAATATGTTAACATTTTTAATTTTAAATATATTCATGGAAAAGTAAAAAAAACACAGTTTTTATACTAAGGTACAATATATTTCACCAACAATTGAAGATATTAAAAAAATTATAGAACAAATATTTTCGTAAATGTAGTTTTAATTAATTTAGTGTCTATAATAAATTTCAATTTGATCAACGGTTTATGATATAAGTACAAAAATTTGAAAAATTTTAAAAGTTCAAACTTTAAGTTCAAATAGGCACGGGTTAACTTTGTTTGATTGATTCAATATTTCATGTAGTTATTTTTTTTATATATGTACACTGTTTAAGGGGGTGAGATGAAAACATTTTTGATTTTTTTTTTCATCTATAGTGAAAGACCACCCTAATATATATATATATATATATACAGTGTGTTTCCTTTTAATGGTAACACTAAATAATTCTTTCCAGTGACATCGGATTAATATACAGATTTCGGGAGGGGATAGGGAATACATAAACACACATTTCTTGATCGAAACTTTGACTGGTTGCCATTTAGTCAATTTAGATTTTAGAGCTATGGTAAAAAGGACCAAATCGACTTAAAAAAATTCGGACTATCTGAATTTGGTATTCAAAACACCTGTTGCCATTTAAAAAAATGCAAGTTGTATTGCGCATGCGCACACGGATAGATCTAAAAATGWAAAAATCGTCAAGAAATGTGTATTTATATATTCCCTATTCCCTCCCGAAATCCGCATATTAATCCGATGTCACTGGACAGAATTATTTAGTGTTACCTTTAAAAGGAAACACACAGTATATATATATATACTGTACAGCAGGGTCTTAATTAATTTAATTATCTTAGAATTTCTACAAAAATTAATTATACATATAAAATAATA